GTTTCCCCCCTCAGTCCGTCTCTCCCATCAGGAAGCTTCCATAGCCTCTTATCCTTCTCCATCAGAGGGCACACAGACTGAAAACCACAATCACAGAAAACTAACCAGTCTGATTACATGGACCACGGCCTTGTCTAACTCAATGAAACTATGAGCCATCCTTAGTAGAGCCACCCAAGATAGACAGGTCATGGTGGAGAGTTCTGACAAAATGTGGTCCACTAGAGAAGGGAATGGCAAGNTGGAGATATCTAAATATGCAAATCTCATGCTGTATAGTCTCTTAAGACAGCATGTGATTGGGAATAGATTTTAGATGATGTGTTTGGTATGCGTGCATGCTTGCTCAGCCGTTTCAGTCATGTCTGACTCTTTGCGACTCTATGGACCGTAGCCCACCAAGTTCGTCAGTCCATATGCTGTCTAGGTCTGTCATAGCCTTTCTTCCAAGGAGCAAGCAACTCTAGAAGTTCCTAGTTCCCAGAGTGGGGAAGTGCTTCTCCCAGGGGGAAAGATCGAGTCTCATTGGAATTTATGCAACGGCTGTCTTCCAGTAACTTCAGGCTCCTTATGCCCAAGAGACTTGTGGGTGAGGAAGGGGGTGGCCACGCTGTCAGTGGTGAGTGACTTGATCTTTGGAAGGTGGTCAAGCTTCTATTACACCAAGGACACAGGATAGAATAGGTTTGACACTTGGGAAAAGGCTCGGGCAGCTCTTCATGCTCTCATGTCCAAATCAAACAATGAAAATAATCATAGCTTAAAAGGGTGTTGGAAACAGGGACTCAGATTCCTCACAGATGAGAGTTTGAATCAGCCTATCAGACTGACCGCCCCTACCTGCAGAGATGGGCCAAGGATAAGATAATCAATACAGGATAGTTGATAAGGGAGATGAGAAGTCTGAGTTCAAGACCAACCTAAGCAGCAGAAGTGGTAATGGTTCTAAAAGTGCTTCTCATGTAGTTGCCCAGGAAACAGGCACTCACAGAAGCCTATGAAAGTTCTTTCCACACTGGGCAAACCTACTGTAAGAAGAAAGTAGATCTGGACAGCACCAGGGGTAATGATGGTCTTAGTCCATTTGAGATATGACAAACTTAGACAGCGTATTAAAAAACAGAGACATCACTTTGCTGACAAAGGTCCGTAGAGCCAAAGCTATGGCTTTTCCAGTAGTCATGTACAGATGTGAGACCTGGACCATAAAGAAGCCTGAACACCAAAGAATTGATGCTTTTGATCTGTGGTGTTGGAGAAGACTCTTGAGAGTCCCTTGGACTGCAAGGAGATCCAACCAGTCAATCCTAAAGGAAACCAACCCTGACTATGCATAGGAATAACTGATGCTGAAGCTCAACACTTTGGCCACCGGATGAGAAGATCCAACTTACTGGGAAAGACCCTGAGGCTGGGAAAGATTGAAGGCGGGAGGAGAAGGGGGCGACAGAGGATGAGATGGTTGGACGGCATCACTGACTCAATGCACATGAGTTTGGGTAAGCTCCAAGAGTTGGTGATGGACAGGGAGGCCTGTTGTACTGCCGTCCATGGGGTTGCAAAGAGTCAGACATGACTGAGTGACTGAACTGACTGATATGAAACATACAAATTAGAATAGAGGATCTGCTGTTGTTCAGTCACTAGGTCATGTCTAACTCTGTGACCTCTGAAGCAAGCCAGGCTTCTCTGTCCTTCATCATCTCCTGGAGTTTGCTCACACTCAGGTCCATTGTGTTGGTGATGCTATGCAACCATCTCATCCTCTGTCACCCTCTTCTTTTCCTGCCCTCAGTCTTTCCCAGCATTAGTCTTTTCCAATGAGTTGGCTTTTCGCATCAGGTGGCCAAAGGATGGCGCTTCAGCATCAGCATCCGTCCTTCCAATGAATACCCAGGGTTCATTTCCTTTAGGATTGACTGGTTTGATCATCTTGCTGTCCAAGGGATTCTCACATGTTTTCTCCACCACCACAATTATTCCATAGTTTTCTTTATGGGCCAACTCTCACTCATCTGTATGTGAGTACTGGAAAAACCATAGCTTTGAATAGAAGATATTAAGAAATACTGTCATGTTTTCCTCACCCAGCTTCATTAAATTGTTGCATTGGTTTTCTTTCATTATCTTCATTTGCTTCAGATTAAAGAAAACAGAGAAACACAGTGGACCCTCTGTATCCATGGAGGGTGCTGCAACCAATCCCCCACTGGCTCCCAAGGGATGACTATATACTTTTGAGATCCCTTTGGTTCCCTTCTCTGCTCTTGCTCTTCTCTGATCCTTCCACAGTCATCTCTATCATGGATTTAGTGTTTACCGTTCTCATGCACAGCTTTTATACTGAGTAGGAGTCATATTCTGGATACTAATCTTTTGTTAATTTTATGCATTTTGAATTGCAAATATCTCCTCTCGCTCTGTGCTGTGTTTTTCCTTTTGCTTATGGTGTTTTTTTGATATTTGAAAGTTTTAAATTTTAATGTGATCACATTTATCAGCTGTTTCCTTTATGGTTTGTGCTTTTTGTGTCATATTTTTAAAAATTCCTTTCTCTTATCTTCCCTGTACTCTTTTTTTGGTAGATGCTTTGTTTTATTTCCTTGATGAATGTCTGTGGTTCCTTGAGGAAAGACAAAATCATGATTATGCATGTCTTTCATCCTCTCCAATGTTAATAATTCCAGTGACTCCCAAATGGTAGGTGGGAAAGACCAGATTGGTGGACAGTCGCTTGTTGTCTTTCTCTGCAGATCGGGCTGTAGCTGCTGTTCTCTTTAGTTGCTATCTTAGATTCTTTCCTCTCTTTCCCTTTTTTTTCATATCTACATTTCTCCTTCCCATTCTTTTACACAGTACTCAACAGTTTAGAGGAACATCAGTTGCAACTGAAAACTACTAAAAATAAAGGGGATTTACCATAAACAGTAAATGCTAGAGAGGGTGTGGAGAGAAGGGAACCCTCCTACACTGTTGAAGGGAATGTAAAGTGGTACAGGCACTATGAAGGATAGTATGGAGGTTCCTTAAAAAGCTAAAATAGAGCTACCATATGACCCTGCAGTGCCACTCCTGGGCATGTATCTGGAGAAAAACATGGTCCCAAAGGACACATGTGCCCCAGTGTTCATTGCAGCACTGTTTACAGTAGCCAAGACATGGAAGCAACTTAAATGTCTATTGACAGAGGAATGGCTAAAGAGGATGTGGTACATATATACAAAGAAATATTACTCAGACATTAAAAAGAATGAAATAATGCCATTTGCAGCAACATGGATGGACCTAGAGACTGTCATATTGAGTGAAGTGAGTCAGACAGAGGAGGAGAAATATCCTATAACATCCCTTATATGCATCCCTGGTAGCTCAGATGGTAAAGAGTCTGCCTACAATGAGGGAGACCCAGGTTCGATCCCTGTATCGGGAAGTTCCCCTGGAGAAGGAAATGGCAACCCACTCCAGTATTATTGCCTGGAAAATCCCATGGACTGAGGATCCTGGTAGGCTATAGTCCACGGAATTGCAAGGAGTTGGACACGGCTGAGCGACTTCACTTCACTATGCAGACTCTAAAAAGAAGTGATACAAATGAACTTATTTACAAAACAGAAATAGACTCAAAGAATGAATTTATGGTGGCCGGGGTGGGGGGCGGGGCGGATATGGGGGGAAAGGATAGTTAGGGAGTTTAGGTGTTGGGATGGACATATACACACTGCAATATTTAAAATGGATAACTAACAAATACCCACTGGAGCACAGGGAACTCTTCTCACTGTTATGCTAAAGCCTGAATAGGAGGGGAGTTTGAGGGAGAATGGATACTTGTAAATATGTGGCTGACTCCCTTCACTGTCCACCTGAAACTATCAGAACACTGTTAATCAGCTATAGAGTGAAAGTCGCTAGGTTGTGTCCAGCTCTTTGTGACCCCGTGGACTATACAGTCCATGGAATTCTGGACTGCATACTGGAGTGGGTAGCCTTTCCCTTCTCCAGGGGATCTTCCCAACCCAGGGATCAAACCCAGGTCTCCCACATTGCAGGTGGATTCTTTACCAGCTGAGCCACCAAGGAAGCCCTACTCAGCTATACCTCAATATAAAATAAAAAGTTTTAAATGGTATAAAAAAAGTAAAGGGGATTAATTGGCTCAAACAAATAGAAAGTCCCTGGACTTCAGCTTTGATTCAGCAGGTCACTGACGTAACACCATCAGTAAAGGAACAGATATGTGTCCTTCCACTTTTTGCTTTACTTCCTACCAGGTCAGTTTTATTCTAAACTTGTTTTCCCTCTCAAGCGCATGACATTTTTAATGCCTAAGTTAGGATTTCTTAAACTTGACACTAGTGACATTTGGGTTGTCTAATTTGGGGATGTGGGGGTCTGTCTTGAGCACTGTAGGATGGTAAGAAGTGTGTGGAGAGAGGAGCCTGGTGGGCTACAGTCCATGGGGTCACAAAGAGTCAGACAGGACTGAGTGACGAACTCTAACAAGAAGCATTCTGNAAACACATAACTTCTCTCATATTCAGGCTTCTTGTTTGTCATATGGAGATTGTAAAACCAGCTCTGCTTACCCTAGGAATATTGAGATGCTCAAATGAACTCTGATGCATCAGCAGAAAGAAACATTAATTTGTACTATTATAGAATTGCAGAAACACCTCATTCAATCTTTAGTACCTGCCTCATATAGGCACTCAGAATAAATTTATGAACTTTATAAATGAAACAGATAAAATATTTCCTTCTTTCAAATCAGTATAGTATTTGAATAGACTGGACAAATAGAAGCCTGAAGGGAAATGATTGCAAACTAGGACAGGAGCCATTTAAAATTTGGAGTTTAGCTACATTTGGAGAGCGTTTCTGGACCCACTTGCCTAAATGACTTTGGACATGTAGAGAAGAGCTCCCAGAATATTACACACACATTTCCAACTGCACTCAGATATATTGGAAGTGTTCCATAATCAAGGGAGGGTTTTCCCTCAGGCCTTTAAACATTTCTCATCAGTAATATCCTCATCGAAAGAGAATCCTGTCTTGGGTACCCCAGGGACAGCCACTAGTTTCGACACTGTATCCCGTGGTTGGACACGACTACTGCACAAACTTCTCAGACTCATGATACCAGCCTGTTGAGAGAGACAGGGGTCTGTTTAGTGTGTTACAGACATGTCATTGCCAAAATAAAGGTTCTAGATAACAATCTGTCATGAATACTACTGATGCCAATAAAAAGAACATGAAGGAAAAACCTTAATGCTTGTATGATGTGGTTGTATCCTAGTCCCATTTGTCTGTCCATTTTGGAGGCAGCAGTGAATGGTGGAAAGAGTGTGAGCTTTGGAGTTAACCAGACTTGTGTTAAGATCATAATGACAGCATGTTAGTCTTGCGGTCTTGCATGGTTTACCCAATCTCAGGTTTTTTTTTTTTTAAAGAATTTTTGTATTCATTTTTGGCTGCGCTGGGTCTTTCCTGCTGTGCGTGGGCTCCTCTCTAGTTGCAGTGTGCGGGTGTTTCATTGCGGCGGCGTCTCTTGTTGCAGAGCACAGGCTCTAGGGCACACGGGCTTCAGTAGTTGCAGCTCCCAGTCTCTAGAGCGCAGATTCAATAGTTGTGGCTTTTTGGCTTCGTTGCTTCACTGCGTGTGAGATTTTCCTGGACCAGGAATCGAACCTGTGTCTCCTGCATTTGCAGGCAGATCTTTTACTACTGAACCACCAGGGAAGCCCTGAGCCCTACTTCTTAGTAATATCATTTCAATGGAGTAAAATGCCTTAGTTCTTGGTCAGAATCCTCTGAGACAGGAGCCTTCAGGGAGAGAATGATGGCCAATGTTGACACCTTCTCCTTATATATGATCCCCTTCGGGTAGTGTTGATATAATTCTCTGGTTATCTCTTGGTTTTGGAGTGTTGACCATCGTTTGCCAAGGTGTGTGGTAATGAGTATGCTGGCTGTCCAGATTTTAGTTACTATGACATCACCATCTGGCAGGCGTTTGCTTTTTATGCTCCACACAACAGAGAGTGGTTACTCCCAAGTACGGTTCATTCATGAAAATCATTTCAAGTTGTGAAATACTGTATTTTGCATGTTAAGTCTCTTCTGAGAGCCTCATGGGCATAAATAACTGTCAATCCCAGTAGCTATATTTGTCTAAAGTACTTCAGATTTGAAATGTTTATCAACATCATAAACTGATACAAATTGGGTCATCATTATACACTCCTTAGACACAGATGGGAAAACAGGATTAAAAATGAAGAGTGACAGTGCTTGTCCCATGTTTGTAAATTGCTCTTTAGAAATAATCCTCCTGTCAAGAGAGCTGCATGTGGGAAATTAGTAGCTGGCTCCTGTGTGGCCTCTCCTCCTTCCCATAAAATAAGATCTTGGGAAAACTTCACAGGAGAAAACCCACAGTTTGAAGAAAATATGGTACCTGCTGAAATGTTTTCAAACGTTAAGAAACTCAAACTCAAGTTGTTTTGAGGTACAGAGAGGAATGACTGGGTGAATTTTATTGAGAAATTAGGGAAGTAAGTATTTATTTTGCTTTAGAAAAATGACAAAAGTGAATGATATTATTGAGTGTGGAAAATTATTAAACATTGAAAGAGATGTTGGTTTAATTAGCAAATTTTGACATTGATGCATGTTCTAAAATATTTTTTTTTAAATGCAGCACTTTAAAATGAAGGTTATTTTAAACTAAAGTGTTCTGGGAAATTCCCTGGAGGTCTAACGGTTAAGACTACAGACTTCCACTGCAGGGGGTATGAACTCAATCCTTGGTTTGGGAACTAAGATCCTGCATGACATGGTAGGGCCAAAAATTTTTTTTAAATTTAAAAATTAAAAAAATTAAAGTATCTTGGACTAGAATAACTGTATGAAAAGGCAAACATATTTTGTTATAGAAAATCTAATCTGACTTAAAAAAAAAGGATGATACCTGTTTAGACGCAGAATCATAGCAACAATCATTCTTGATCTGGGCCTCATTTCTCCCTCACAGAAACAGGATCGAGCTCTGTATACAGCGCAACAGAGAACACGTCCCTCCAGATGATATTGGACTTACATTTACTGAAAAGGATGGACTGATGATCTTGACAGAAGACTCTTTTTCTTTAGATACAGTGTTCATATGAAACGTTCATATGAACGTTTTATGAAAAATGCATGTTTCACAGATTCTCACACGCAGCCTCCAACAGAACAACATTTTGTGTGTGGTTTAAAAAAACAGTTTCAGTTTTTTCTCTCTCACATGATCTTCATCTTCTCCTAGAATCCAAAGCTCTTTCTTTTGGGAGGTTCCCCTGTCTGCATCGCACAGCTCCAAGGAACACCCGTTCAGATTGCAATTTCTGTGGCAGGCGATTTAAATCCCTGCAGGTCTGTGTTTGTTAAGCTCTCATTCACTGTTTTAACTATTTCCTTTTTTTCTCGATACTTCCCCAGCCTTTGGTCGTGACAGAAGATTTGATAGGCAGTGCAATGTAGTGAGAAGCCCTGTGGAGTCAAATATTGTGAAAGGTATTTGTTGTTTGCTGTCCATCTCCCACTATTCCTTTCCTCTGACAATATTACACTATTTACTGTAAGGGACTTCAAACTGCCTTGACTTTCAGCCAGGTGACCCCTTACTCCAGGGAAGTGTTATGAACAAAAGCCTGGAATATTCTCCTCTGTTGGATTTTCCTGCTTGTGCTTCTGTGACACCATGAGAAGAACATGCCCCAGGTAGTGTTTTCAGCCTAGGCTCTGAATGGGAGACGTGGAACAAAGGACTGCAGATGACTCTTGGGCTCACAGTCTGAAGCAGACCTTCCACAGCCAACCCACAAAGCCTTAGCTTAGAGCAGACCTGAACCTGCTCTTGAGCCTAAAGTCCAGCCCAGCTTGCTTCCTGGGTGGCTCTAGAGGTAAAGAATCTGCCTGCCAGTGCAGGAGATGTAAGAGACACGGGTTCCATCCCTGGGTCGGGAAGATCCCCTGGAGGAGGGCATGGCCACCCACGCCAGTGTATTCTTACTTGGAGAATCCCATGGACAGAGGAGCCTGGCAGTCTATAGTCCATGGGGTCACAAAGAGTTAGACACGACTGAGCATGAGAAAAAAATGTTTGAAATCATTGAATTTGGAGTGGGTTGTACAGCATTAGTGCGTCAATGACCAAGATAGAGGGAACCGAGATGCTTCATGAGAGAGATGATGGGAACTAGAACTAGGGTGGCAACAACAGAAGTGGTTAGATGCCGGGTAATTTTAGCCATGGAGTCTACAGATTTTGCTGATAGATTGTAGAGGAGGACTCCTGTGCCACAATTAAGACCTGATGCAGCCATAAAGAAGTGAATAATATGTTTAAAAAAAAATAAAGCCAAGACTGGACGGGATCCACAAGTAAGTGTGATCACTTGAAAAGAGGTCCAAGGACTAAGGCTGGGGGCATTTTGTATTTGGTGGTTGAGGCATTGAAGAGTTAGCAGCAAAGAAGATTGAAAAGGAGCAGCCAGAGAGATAAGAAGAAAATCAAACACATGCTAATAAAGTGTTAATTCATATGCCTTGTCCTAACACCACCACCATTTCTTTTCCTCCTTCACTAAAAATATTACCATCCCTAGATGTGTCTGTGTATTCGTGTGTGTCTGCGTGTACNCGTTTTCCTCTGTTTTCTCTTCTTCAAGATCACTCGATTTCATTTTCTTTACCTCCTCTCTGGCTAAGTGTCCCCGGAAGGCTGCCTGGATTTTGAGAGCAGCATTCTCTTCCATGTCCTTGTCTGAAGGAGATTCCTTCCCGGAAAGGAAAACAAGTAAGACTTTTAAACATCCCCCATATTTTGATGCCATAAAAATAAATGCTTAAATTTAATCAATTTAGGGATGTAACAGTCGAGATGGGTCGCTTCCTGAGGGAATTCTACATATCATCACACTGTATGTGTACCAAATGCTGTCGTTGTTGCTTAGTCACTAGCTTGTGTCTGACTCTTCGTGACCCCATGGACTGTTGCCCTCCAGGCTCCTCTGTCCATGGGGTTTCCCAGGCAAGAATACTGGAGTCGGTTGCCATTTCCTTCTCCAGGGGATCTTCCCAACTTAGGGGCTGAACCCTTGTCTCCTGCATTGGCAGGCAGATTCTTTACTGCTGAACCACCAGGGAAGCCCCTATGTACCAAACAGTGAATGCCAAAATAGTAGGCATTTTGTTTTGTCATTCTTTGATGTGTCTCTGCAATAAAAGATCGCTGTCAATTTTTCCCTCCCTGAAATAACTCCTATTTAACAGCTTCTTATTTAACATTTTGGGGTGGGGAATAACTCAGAATCCTTGAAGCAGGGTAAAAACGCCAAGAAGAATAGTAAGTGTGCTGTTCAAAAGAATGGTGATTACACAAAATGGATTAAAGTATTCTTATATTCTCAATGATTAGCTAATCAGAACCATATATTTAAAATGAAATGCCACAGAGGAATCCATTCAATTTGACAAAATCAGTTTTAACATGATTAGTTGAATTTTTGTATATAGTTTCCTTCTTTTAAAAAAACAGGTATAATTTACAGATAGTGAAATGCACACATCTTCAGTGTACAGGTCAACAGACATACAGCTTTTAACATGATTTTTAAATTTTAAAAGTGATACATATGCATTTAAAAACTTAAGTACAATGGTCGTGAAGGTTTCCTTTGTCTTACAAAGTTCTACACCTAAGAGGTAACTGTTATTACAGATGAAGTAAATTTAACCTTATAAAATTTCTCTATATATCAAATGTAATCACATGGATATATATTTGCCTTTTTATTTAAAGAAATGAGATCATGCTAATCACAATGTTCTGCAACTACTTTTTCCATGTGACAGTGAATCTTGGCTCTCTTTTTCTATGTTATTCACTACATAATTCTGCCCACTTTTTAATGGCATCATTGTATTCCATTGCATTGATGTACTTTGATTAATTTACTCATTTTCCTACTAATGGACCTTTGGGCTATTTAAACCCCTTCTCCCCCCATGACAAAGAGGCAAATCCAGCTCTTGAAATTTATTAAAATGCAAACAGATTGGTATAAAATCCTCTGAAATGATATCCTAACATGGGCAAATGAATTATGCTGAAGTCAGAAATCAATGGGACCAAAATTCAAAGTCAAAAAACCTGTGTAAGGGCATCTGTTAGAGATGTAAGGAAAGAATACTCCCTCCCTTATTTCCTGAACTCCCAGTGTATCTTATGCTCATGTTAAGCAGATGGAGTTGCACTGAAGTGAATCATAAAGGTTATAAGCAAAACTGATACCCCCCTGGGGAGGGGGATGCCCATTTTGGGTGTCAATTACTGGCTAATTAACTGGGACATTAATATATGAAAAGAAACTCGGAAGTCTGGCCTTCAACACTGTAGACAATGAGTTCTTCTCACTAGGCTTGGTCCTCTTCGATCTGGATGATGAATCATATAGACAGTGATATGCTTATAGTAAATGTTTAACAAGTGGCTCTTCAGAAAAAAATAGTCCTGATCTGTAGTATTTATGATGATATTAATACTCCCACTATAGCTGATTTCAAATATCAAAGTGATATTTGGGGTGGTGTAGGTATGTGCACAATTGTCTCGTAAGAGCTAGCTTTAGCACACCATTGAATGTAAGCATTTTGAGGGTGGACGGAGCCTAACCCACCAGCGCTTGGATGTAGGCCGTGAGGCAGAATTTTGTAGAGTGAAACGCATGGAAGATGAGTAGCACTCACTGAGTGAAGCCATTTAATTTGACTGTAATAAGTAATTCCCCATGAGAATAATTTCCCCATAACAAAGTTCCTTTGTTGTGTCTGAACCTTTGCCACTGTGTGGTGGGGACAGCCTCGGTTAGTGAAAAGTTTCCCAAGTGGAAGAGGAATCTGAAGGATCAAGGCTTAGACTGTGATTTTGGTCTGTTCTTCTCCTTGGGGAGATTTTTCCCATCTGTTGACAATCTTGGAAAATAAGATTTTCTTTATAAGGGGAAGAATAGTTTTCTTTAAAGAGGCAGGACTAAAAATGATCCAGCAGTTAGTACATCATTGTTGCTAGTTATCTAGAAAGCAAAATCATTATTTTCAGTTCAGCTCAGTTCAGTCGCTGAGTCGTGTCCGCCTCTTTGCGATCCCATGAACTGCAGCACGCCAGGCCTCCCTGTCCATCAACAGCCCCCTGAGTCCACCCAAACCCATGTCCATTGAGTCAGTGATGCCATCCAACCATCTCATCCTCTGTCGTCCCCTTCTCCTCCTGCCCTCAATCTTTCCCAGCATCAGGGTCTTTTCNGATGTACTCTGCATATAAGTTTAATAAGCAGGGTGACAATATACAGCCTTGATGTACTCCTTTTCCTATTTGGAACAAGTCTGTTGTTCCATGTCCAGTTTTAACTGTTGCTTCCTGACCTGCATACAGGTTTCTCATTATTTTAGCAATATGGATAAGAGACTGGATTTGTATTTGGAGTATAATTTTAAATTGAGTGAAGTAATTTTTTTGGTACGAACCCAACAGTACATAGAAAATATAACTTACTAAGGTTGTCTTCTCTTTCATAGATGTCTGAGAATTTTCTTTTCCAGGTTCATGTTTTTCAGGTGATTCTTGCTCCTGGATAGAGGGGAGAGGTCCAAATAGGTAATGTGCCCAAAACAATAAAGTCTTGGATCAAACTCTTTAAAGATGATTAAAGATTAAATTATTGATAAGTACTGGAGATTAAATACATATTATTTTTAAACAAGGAAAGCTGGTTGGATAAAATCAGAAAACTCTCAAGGGAATAGCACAAACAAATATTAAAGACCAAGGTACTGGTTAAAAAAAGTTTGACCTTCTGCCTTTGGAATGTGTGTAATATTGTTTTATATTAAAAACAAACCATTGTCTTATACTAAAACTTGATATGATGCTGTAACGAACCTTGAACAAAGAATAAAAAAGAGATGCCAATAGTTCCTCAAATAGGAATGAAATAAATCCTATTTTGTTCCATAATGTGCGGTCAAGTTGACTTTTTAATGAAGTTTGTAAATTAAAAACTAAAGAAGTAAGTTTTGTTGTGGGGAAGGATTTAAATAGAAAAAAAGGAAACCAGTTCTATCTTAACGTTGTTACTGAAATCTTCCTCCAGAAGAGCAGCATTGTTAATTCACAACCTATGGGAAGAGCTTCTTTAATTCATAAAACATAAATTGAAGGACTTATAAACTCATCAAATAAAGCCTTTAGAATTCAAAAGGGAAGAAAAAACATTCTAAAGTTGCTGTGACTTAAGATTTAAAAATTTTCAACATTATTCCTTTGCTTTCAAAAAAACAGGAACACAGAGAATCTAGTTAGATGGAAATAAAAAGAAAACCCCTGTGTCTGGCAGGCACAAATGGATGGAACTTCACTTTTGAACTCATAGAATAAGTCTCAGTGGGATTTGCCCAGAAAATCCCCCAAATCTACTCTGTAACATCATCAAAATTTGACCTTTGTTTACTAATTCTAGTACCTGCTGATGCTTCATGGCTAATGTATTATCATAGTTGTCTAAAGTAGTACTTCTCAGACTACATCCAGATTTTGGCGTACCTACAAGTTACTCTGTGGATCTTGTTAAAATTTAACTTCTGATTTGGTAGACCTGGTGTAGAGCTTGAGATTGAATTTCCACCAAGTTCCAAGTTGGTGCCAAAGACGCTGGATCACACATGGCCTTTCTCAACCAGTGTTCCTCACTGGAGTTACAGAACATAGAATGCTTTAAGTGATTATTTTCTCAATTTTCCCAAGGATGGTACATAAACATAATCATTCTGGATACAAAGGAGAGACACTAATTCCTGACATGCAATGGATGCCTTGGGCTTAGGGCTTAATTATTTTGAGGAGCCTTGGTTGAGAAAGGCTGGTTCTGAGAATGCTACTGAGAAAAAGATGGGTTCAGACTCTGAATGGATTGGCTTAATAGAGAAGGCTCTATACGATCTTTAATTCTAATCAGTCTTTTGTAAGATATCACCAATAATGAATAATTGTTTTATGTGTTTTGTTTTATTTTATTTTATGAAATAGCACACATTAATTCAACCACTGTTTATTGCACATCTGCTATTGATAAGCACTGTGATACTCAATAACATTTGCACAATAAGTGAAAGTAATTATTCTATCTCTTTCAAGTACATTTTTCCCGTTGATCATCTGTAAATTTAAGCTAAGTATGGTACACGATTCAGATATCTTAGAAAAGAATTTCTTTCCAGAAAGAATAGCACAATTACAAAGATTTCATGAAATATTTGTAATGCCTTTCACAATATTCATGATTATGGGTGATCCCCAGGATCTCTGTACTGGAGACAGGGAGAAGCATTAACCAAACCCGGAAGCTCATCGGGACCATACCTTGAACGCGTGGTTGTTATAGAAGCGGTCATCAACCTTAGCCCCCCATTCTGCCGGATCAAAGCTGGTTTCTAAACAACAAAGACAGAGTTCCAGGCTTACTTTGAGTCGTTAAAGGAAATGCAGACTAGGAACAAAAAACGCTTTCTCTTTCAAATTATAGGCCCTTTACTGACCCTCGAAAATTTTATTGACATTGTAGAGAGCCTAGTGCTGTGGATATAACCAGTGATGACAAAGAATTAAACAACAGATAAACCCTTGAAGATATTTAGAAAGGCAGTTAAAAAACCTACTTGATGCCTTCATAGAAGTTATAATAAAATGGGAGTGGTAGAGAACAAATGCCAATATTTAAATATCAGTATAGAAATGTATTATTATATACTTATAGAAACTTATTATGTATTAGTAAACATAAGAAAAATGTATAAAAATAAATGCTGAATAGTGAGGAAATTTGGAAAAATGAAAGATGGGAGAAGTTTTTTCTTAAAAAAAAAAGTGGGCATATTATGTAGTCAGGTAGACAGAAGTATTTATATTTAAATAGAATTTTTCTTTAACTTTTCATTATGAAGTATTTCAGACTTAGAAAGTAGAGAGAATAATATAACAAATTGCCAAGTGCACATTACTCAGATTCAATAATTACAAGCTCATAACTGATCTTATTTTATTTGTAACTTCATTCATTTTCCTGCCCTTTCTGATTATTTTCAAGCCAACCCCAAGCATCTTACTATTTCATCTATAAATACTTGCATCAGTATGTATCTCTGAGATATAAAGCTATAATGCCATTACCACACCTAAAAATAACAGCAATAATTCCTTAATATCATCAACTATCCAAATTCCTCCCATTATCTAGTATTGCTTGTGGTCAGTTGTGTCCCACTCTTTGCCACCCCACTGACTGTAGCCTGTCAGGCTCCTCTGTCCAGGGAATTTTCCAGCCAAGACTACTGGAGTGGGTTGCCACTTCCTACTCTAGGGAATCTTCCCAACCCAGGGATCAAACCCTTATCTCTTGCATTTCCTGCATGGGCAGTCATATTCTTTACTACTGAGCCACCTAGGAAGCCCTATTATCTAGTGTATTTTTATTTATTTATTTTTACTGTTGATTTGTTCAAATCAGGACCCAAACACACAACCTTTTGCAATGTCTTAAATCCCTTTTAATTGAAACCTCCCTATCTCCCACCCCACATTTTTTCCTTGCCGTTTATTTATTGAGGAAATTAAGTCATTTTTCCTTTGGAGTTTTCCACAGTTTGGATATTTCTGATTCCACTCCCATTATGATTTTTTAACAAGTTCCTCTGCCTTTGAATTTCCTGCGTATTTCCGGTTAGATCTGCAGGTTTGATCTGATTCAGGTTTGATTTTTTTTTTCCCAAGAATACTTTATAGTATAATATAGTATAGTTTATAGTATAATATAGTATAGTATATAGTATAATTTATGGTATCATTCTGTTAGGAAATGTATATCTGGTTGTTTCTCTTTTTCATAGTTTTTATGGGCCTGTTGATAATGACTCGCTTAGATAATTACTTTAGGGATTGCAAAATGGCAATGTTCTAATTTGATTATTACTTCTCTATTTCTGGAGTATGCAACCAAAAACACTTTACCTATTTGGTTACCCTGAAATACAGTTCTTACAGTAAAGGCAGGTTAGAGGTTTGACTATTTCCCAATTTTTAGATTAATAAGTAAGTTCCTTAGGATCCTCTCAAGGAGTTTTCTGTTGTTTGTTTTGTTTTTCAGTAAATAATTATGAAATAATGAACATTTAAGAAATGGAATGAATTTCAATCTCCTGCATTTATTCATCTTACTGATGTTCTAATTGTCCAAAATTGTCCAGTATGAGCTTATTCAGGTGTTCAAATGTTTCTGAGTCCTATGGAAACAACTCTAATAATCTTTGATAGTTTTCTTACTTTCTGGTACAACAAGGTGATGAGGCTAATCTTGCATGCTTTCTGCCCAGTTCATGGGATTGATTTGTTCTCCAAGAGGCCCTGGTTTTCGGAAAATGGTAGTTAGAGGCCACAATCTAGGGACCAAGGGCTCACTGGTACTGGGCTGGTCATTGTTTTGAGGACTTAAAAAGAAGTATATAGAGCTAGAAAATAACACTGTCACTTTTTAAAGAGAAAATATACCATGAAGTCACACTGACGCTTTTCAATTCAAATTTAGAATTATAAGAGTTTATTAACTTCTTTCATTTTTATATTTGCATGTACTTTTTCTTATACTAAAAATCCTATTCCTAATTCCGATAGTTAATTATTTGTTATGTCCTACAATGTATAAAAACTTCAAAATAACTATACTGTAATATTATTAACAGTGATAAATGAAAACAATTTAACATATTTTTTTAAACATCATTTTGTTTTTAGGCTATATCCATCAGGAATGCTCAAAGCACTGTGTTATAAAGTAACATAAAATAATTTTTTTTTCTGTGGTCATGTTACCCATGTTAGGTTCATTTATTTCATTTTACTTCTAAATTTAGAAATGCTGAACAACTTTAACTCTATTTTTATAACTATGTTAAACATACATGATTTGATTTAAGATATAGTCAGAGAAGTCTAGCTTCTATGCTATTCCCTCCACTCTTCCTTCTCCTGGTAAGGGTAAAAAATAATTTTTAATAAGATTTATTCTCCATTTAAAAATATAAGTGAACAGTTATCTGTTCATATCAATACCTCTGTTAGATAATTGGTACATACTAAACATATTATCTTCTACCTTACTTTTTTCATTTAATATGCCCTGAAGATCACTCTATAGCATCATAGAAATCTTCCTCATTTCATTTTTGCTTGTTTTTTACAGCTGCACATTTATCAGTAGTGTAGACTTACTCAAGTTTATTTTAAAAAATCCCCTATGATGAATATTTGGGTTGCTTCCTCAAGTAACAATACAATGAAAACTGAATAAGATATGGGTCAAAGGTAAAAACAGATGTAATTTGGTAGATATTGCTAAGTCCCCTCCTTGGGATTGTTACCATTTTGCATCTCCTCCAGCAATGTATATGAGTGCTTATTTCCTCTAGTGTTGCCTACAATAAATTGGCACACGCCTGGCTTTTTGTCAACTTGATGAGTAGAGTTCTCTTGGCAGGTGGTGGGACTTCACTGTAGTTTTGGCTTGGGCTTCTGTTATTGTTATCATGGGTTATTTTGAGTACATTTTCATATGTTAAGGGTGAGTCATTTGCACTTATTTTTGTGTAAATTGTCTGCTCAAATCACTTGCCCATTTTTAATATAAGTTGTTTTCTTTTCATGTCTTTGACAAGCTTTTTATTCACTACATTTATTAACCCACTGTAATAGAATTTGCAAGTATTTTTTTCTGTCATTTGTAGTTTTATTTTCCATGTGGTGATTTTTGTAAAAGTAAAAATCTATTTCTATGTTGCCAATTTTATCAATATTTTCTTTTAATTGCTTTTGGATTTTTAAAGTATAGTAACTTAGCTAGCAAAAATTTTTCCTCTTTTATGTTACAGAGAAATTCATCCATGCTTTCTTCCAGTATTTGTAAGGTTTCATTTTTTAAAATATTTAAATCTCTGATCAATTTGGAACTTTACCCTGGTATGTGATGTAAGAAATAGATCCAATTTAATCTTTTAACATCTTTATCTCAAGATCATTTAAGAAAGGCCCACCTTTTCCCTAGAGGTTTGATACCACTTTGTGTCATATAGTAAAACATTTCCTGTCACAAAAAATCTTCAAGATTAAGATGAGTAATTACCTATGAGGAATGCTGGCAAGGGAATTCTTGTACTCTGTGAGAGACTAGGCTAGAGGATTCTTTTCTGTCTTTTTGGAAAGGCTAAATTCTAATCCTTGTATGACCTCGTTTACATGAGTGGAAGGGTGTGGTACTTACATTTTTCAAAATAGTTTTACCCATTTTTTATTAGTTAGAAAGTTTGTATTCTGAGACCATTAATCTGAATCACCAGTTACTTTAATTATCATGATCTGGCGACAAATGACTCACATGGTTTTGTAATGGGATGTTTCTGAGGTCTAAAATCAAATAAACAAAGACTTTTTGTAATGAGTTTGTAAAATTAATGTTATAATAAGAAAATTAAAGTTCATTGCAATTCACCTCTTACTTTAAAGGATTTCTCTTAATAGCTTTTTAAGTGGCATTTAAGTTTCAGATTGGGTAACAAATATTCACACTGACTGGAAATGGAAAAGGCCAGCAATTCAGAAAATTGGCAGAGATTCTGAGCTTGGTTAAGGTAGAGCAAAGAGGAGAAGGAGGTGGAGCTATGTAGTGTGTATGGGTGTTGTTTCAGTTCAAGCCTCATGGTAGGTTTACTCCCTCTGTAAAAGGATCAAAATGGAATGTTTACGTGCTTGTGACTATTTCTTGTTTTTTTTGTTTACTCACTAAGTTGTGTCTCTTTGTGACCCCATGAACTGTAGTCTGCCAGACTCCTCTGTCCAAAGGATTTCCCAGGCAAAAATACTGGAGTGGGTGCCATTTCTTTCTCCAGGTGATCTTCCTGATGCAGGAATCGAAACCAGCATCTCGTGCATGAGCAGGAGGATTCTTTGCCTTTGAGCCACACCAGGGCACCTTTACTACTCTGCTGGAATACTGTTATCAGAAGTAACGATAACAGCTTAAACAAAATGGTTGTTCTAGTCAGGATTTTTAATAGAAACTTATAGCTGAGAATTTGGAAATTTTATTTATGGAAGTGAAGAAACTCTGGCTCTTAGCCAGAATTAGCATGAATCTTAGTCTTTGGACAGTATGGGACCTTGGAAATACAGAACCAGAATATACATTACCTTCCCTACCTGGAAGTTCACTTTTCAAAGCAGTTTTTCTCTGTATTTTTATTGAGGAACAGTTTCATACACCCCTGTGAATACCAACTTATTTAATCTAAGGAGTATAAATTTTTTTTTTTTACAGCACTGAATAATACTTTCAAGTAAGGAGAGACAGGGAAGAAGAGACAGTCAACTGCCTGGGAGGCATAGGAACAATATTCAGGAAAAGAGCTAGGGCTGGGTGTTCTCATGAGTTCCCCTTCCACCCCAGGTGTCCCTGAGAAATACAAAGAAGGTCTGGGTGATAAACTGGTAATCTTCAATAATGTGAAATAATGTGATTCAAGGCACCCGCGTGTGTTCTAAGCCACTTCAGTCGTGTCAGACTCTTTGCGACCCCATGGACTGTAGCTTGCCAGGTTCCTCTGTCCATGGGATACTACTAGAGTGGGTTGCCATGCCCTCTTCCAGGGGATCTTCCCAACTCAGGGATCGAACCCGTGTCTTTTAACTCTCCTGTATTCCTGTATAAAGTTGGGTACTTTACCACTAGTGCCCCCTGGAAAGCCCCCCAAAGTCTGTTTCAAATAACAAGAACTGTTAGCTGAAAACTCCCTGCTTCATAAAGGATTTCTGTGGAATGACACAGGTCTTAAGCAAGTCTCACCATAGTCAAACATTTAGTCTCTCTCTTTTTTAAATGCCTAGTTTTAAAAAGCTTACTTTCTCTTTTCTCTAGAAGATTCTCAAAATATGCTGCGGCAAAAGCTGGTATATTGTCCGGTTGCTCCCTCAGAATCTCCCGTGTGAGCCCTTCAAGAAGATTTCCAAATCCTTGTGGAATTCGGTAGTGGGTGTTGGAAAATGGAATCGACATCTCCTTGGGAGGAACTGTCTACTGTACCTAGAAATGCATGAAAGAGTACTGTCTTTAAATTTGTCTCATTTCACTCAGATAATCATAACTAAGACCACAAATTATTTCTGAGACCCCAAATTTCTGGACTTCAATCCTTTCACCCTCAGTACAACCCAAGTCCGTCCATTTCTTCCAAAGAGTTTTGAAATTTTCTATTAGAACATTAAAAATATTTAATAGGTGAAATCATTTTAAAAAATTACAAAAATCACAGATTTTCAGCATGATACTAAGTACTTTCTCCTCTCTCCCTTTCCGCCTTTAAAAGGGTAATTTTTCCTATCCCACAGGAATTTAGAAAGTGATTATTAAAATTTCATCTTAAATTGCCTAAAGAAACCCTTTTTAAGGTTTTTTTTTAAAAAGTAAGTCATTGAAACTACTTTAACTGGTCGAACGAATACGTTTCAGACTTAAGTCGTTCCCCTGGCTTCCACTTCTTAAGTATGACCTAGGATGCCTCGTCGAAGCATCTCTATACTTCTGGAAAAGGCAGTGCGGCGACAGAGCTGGGGGCAAGGTCACGACACAGCAATTCCAGCCTCAAAAGGTTTTGGGATTCTTACTTTTTTGTTTGTTTGTTTGGTTTTCTGTCTTAGCATACAAGGGCCGGGTAAGGATAGCTGCTAAGCAGCGGGTTGGGCTACTGAGTCTGCAAACAAGACTCAGGGACCTGGTCTGTTTGTGACAGCGTCACTGCCGAATAAGCCCGGAAGTCCTGGTAGGGGTCTCGGTGGGGGGTCTAGAAGGTTTAATGAGGCCGAAACTGTGGACTTTCTTCTCCTCCTCCTTCTTTTTTTTTTTTTTTCTGACGGAACAGGAGGTGAAGCATCGAATCACTGGTTGTGAAGAGGAAGAAACCCTGGACCGATGTCGGGAGTGGAGGGCGGGACGTCGAGGATCTGGTATTTCAGACTCGCACAATGGGCTACTGGGTTCCCAGCCTGACTTCGGCTTCCCAGATTGCGGGAGGGGATCATGAGAAAATACCAGAGACGAAGGGAAAAGGCGAGGTCTCTATTTCGGAGAGGAAATGGGATAAACCGCCTCACCTCTCCGTTCTCTCAGAGCTGGAGCCGCTGGTTCCCGTTGTTTTTTCTCGTTGCCGGGAAACCGTTTCCTCCCCGCCCCCGCTCTTTCTACTACGGTGGCCGAAGAGAGGCACGGGCCCGCCTGGCGGCCGCGGACAGCTTCGCGGACTGACTGGCCTGGGAAGGGCGGAGTCAGGCCTTTTCCGCCCCGCCCCGCGGCCCCGCCCTCGCTGGCGTCCACGCCCCGAGGCCTGCAAGGCTGGGACGGCTTCTAGCCAACATGATTGCGTCGGAATTTGTCTTGGGTCTGGTGCTGCGGTTATTCCTGCAGGCCCACGTAAGTGCAGGTGAGGCGGCCGCGCTCGGCCCGACCCCTGCCCATCCGTCGGCCTGCGAGGACCGAGATTCCGCGTCCTCCGCAGGACCGCCCCTGGCGCCTGCTTCTCTAGGTTGGGAGAGGATCCCCTGGCAGGAACCGGGTTCTACGGCCCAGGCCTAGGTTGCAGGTGTCTGCTTCCTCCTCTCCCTTCCACCGCCCTTATGACGCCTCCCGTGGGGGCAATGAGAGTTGGGTTTATCTCAGGAAGGGAGAACTAGGTGTGCCCAGACCAAGGCTCTCAGGGTCTTCAAAGAACTGTGGGGGAACTCGAAGGGGAGGGGGCGAAGCTAGTTAGATAATATTTGGAAACAGGTGACTGAGTCATCCGAAACGTTTCAGTGCTGCCCCCTCAGTGGTACCGTTGGGGAGGGTTTGCCCCGGGCTGGATTCCTTGGGGGAATTAACTTTTACTAGTTTAAGTGGTTATGATGGCTAAGACAGACAGCCCCCTCACCAGCTCGGAGTATTTGACTCAGCTTTGATTCCTGCTCGCCGGCATTGATAGTGGGGCGAAGAGGATGACTCTTCTTGGGGAAGAGGATGACTCACTCATTTTGACTGTGTGCTAGTCATATCGTGTCGTTTGACCCCGAGCTGGACGCTGGGTCACAGGAAAGAAAGTTTAAGTGGGAGAACAGACGGCGTGCAGAAAAAGGACTGTTGCTCTGTGTATGAATTCTCAAAGTACAGATGCAGACAAACTGCAGCTCATAAGTGGTTTTCGGGGTTTAACAGAGGCATAAACTAGCACTCTGTATATCATTTTCTGATTCATCCCCACACAGTGACCTTTGAGTCCAATATATGAAGTGGGGAGAAGGGAAAGAGGGCCCGTGTTAGTTTCTATGTTAAAGGCTGTTAACTTTAATATCAGTCTTTTTATTTATCTTTGCCTTTGGGTCATATTGTTACATAACCTTCATTAACAATGACTTTTGTTTTTTTATTCATTGATGCTCTAGGTTTTCTTTCCTTGGTATTTGGTTGCATATCCTGACTTCTTCAAATCATTCCCTCTCTTCGTTTATCATGTAATATTTGAAATGTACATGGATATATGTAGCAGTGAAGCAATAAAATGAACACCCAAGGGCTTTACACCCAATTTAAGAGCTAGACTGTTGAAGTTTTATTGAGACTTCAAGGATATTCCACCCCCAGGGAGCTACTAGTTCTTCACCAGAAGTAACCACTGCCCTCATGTTGTCAGTAGACTTTTAATAACTGCTTTTAACATCTCAGAACACTAATTCCTGTTTTCCTCTCTGACACCCAAATGAAGAAAAAATTGAAGACCTAAAACAAAAATTTGAAATGTTAAGTGTCTTGTAGTTGACAAAAACAATGACCAGTCCCACCACTTTACCACCAGTATCTAACTGTGGCAGAGTAGTGCTTTGCAGTAATCTTGGAATCAGGTGGCTTGAGGTCTTGTCCTGTCCTGAACTACCTGTGTGATTTGGGCCCGAAGAAGTTTAACATCTGTCATGTGTCTAGTTCTCTGCTTGCCACAGTTAAGCTCCCCCATAGAATGTAAGCTTCCTGCTGGCAAGGAATTTTGTCTGCCTCCATCCGCACACCCCCCCCCCCCCCCCCCCCGCACCCAATTCTTTCCTTGTTGTATCCTCATTTCCTAAAATTGTGCCTGGCACATAGTGCATGCTAAGTCGCTTCAGTCGTGTCTGACTCTTTCCGATGTAGCCCGGCAGGCTCCTCTGTCCATGGGATTCTCCAGGAAAGAATACTGGAGTGGGTTGCCATTTCCTTCTTCATGGCACATAGTTCAGTCGCTCAGTTGTATCCAACTCTTTGTGACCCCATGAACCGCAGCACGCCAGGCCTCCCTGTCCATCACCAACTCCCTGAGTCCACCCAAACCCATATCCATTGAGTCGGTGATGCCATCCAACCATCTCATCCTCTGTTATCCCCTTCTCCTCCTGCCCTCAATCTTTCCCAGCATCAGGGTCTTTTCAATTGAGTCAGCTCTCCACATAAGGTGGCCAAAGTATTGGAGTTTTAGCCTCAACATCAGTCCTTCCAATGAATACCCAGGACTGATCTCCTTCAGGATGGACTGGTTGGATCTCCTTGCAGTCCAAGGGACTCTCAAGAGTCTTCTCCAACACCACAGTTCAAAAGCATCAATTCTTTGGCCCTCAGCTTTCTTTATAGTCCAACTCTCACATCCATACATGACCACTGTATGGATCTAGCCTTGACTAGATGGACCTTTGTTGACAAAGTAATGTCTCTGCTTTTTAATATGCTGTCTAGTTTGGTCATAACTTTCCTTCCAAGGAGCAAGCGTCTTTTAATTTCATGGCTGCAGTCACCATCTGCAGTGATTTTAGAGCCCAGAAAAATAAAGTCAGCTACTGTTTCCACTGTCTCCCATCTATTTGCCATGAAGTGAACATAGTGGGCAACTCCAAAATAAATAATATGCAATCTATTTAAAAAAATTACCTAATCTACTTGGGTCTCAGTCTACAGATCAGTAAATAACATGATTCTACCCTAGGGTGTAAAAGATCCTTTCCATCTCTAAAATTCTGTAACTCAAAATAGAGTTGTGCACAAAGAGGTTCAATGAATGTGTGTGGTCAAAAACAGACTAACCGAGGGGGTGGGGGAAGGTATTTTTCCCCAAAGTTTGAGAAGGTGGCTGCACACACCCAGAACCCCTCATTTGCATGGTCTCATGCCTGCAGCCAGCCCCCTCCAGTATTCTTGTCTGGGAAATTCTACGGACAGAGGAGCCTGCTGGGCTTCAGTCCACGGGGTCACAAAAGAGTCTGACATGACTTACTGACTAAACAACAATAACACCTGCAGCAACCAGTTTTCTTCAATCCCTTCCCTACCCCATCCTCTTTCTGCTTAGCTCTTAGGCCTTGGATTTTCAGGTTTTGTTCCATTTGAAGCACTTACCCAAGACTGGGCCTTCCCACGCATGCGCCTCTTCCCTTCCCTCCAGCAGGCTGCCAAAAGTGCTTATGCAATTCTAGACTGTTGTAGTCTCCACTTAGAGCATTTTGCTCCTGATAGCTGTGCATCTCCAGCCCAGTGGATCTTCTGGATGATCTTTGATTGTCATGTAGATTTTCTGGTGGAGCAAACTCCTAAGAGAGAGCTGAGGATGTCTAGGGACTGGTCTGTTATTTGAAGTGCAGGACAAATAGGCCACCAAGTCTGTGTAGGAGACCCATTAGTGATGCTGCCCTGTTAAGTATAGCCTGAGGGGCTGTCATCATTTGGAGCTTCCGGGGAGAAAAAAATGTCAACTTTGTTAGTTCTGATTCTCTTTCCTGTCTATCATTTTTGTTTAAAACACTTGGAAAAAAAAAATCTTAATTTTGTTAATTATTTTCTTCTAGGGGGTTTTGGTCTGTTTTCTTCAGATAAAGTGGGATGTAAGTGAAAAAGTTTTTTTTTTTCTTCTCTTATTAAGTTTTGATGAGGAATTCACTGAGATAATTTGGATAGATACTTGTTATTAATAAAATACTTCGATATAGGCTGGAGGTTAAAAATAGGAATGATCTCGTTAAAGTGAATTCTTATTCAGCCTTGTTAGTGACTGTCTAGAATAGAATCCACAGTTTCAAGGGCTTTTACTCTTTTCATATAATTTAGCTTGCAAAATGGGCGAATTGCAAGGAAAGACCTTTGGTTCAGACACTTTAACCTTTTGTCTCTCACTGACCTTATTTTTTTGCATCTTAATTGATTTGAATTTACCTTAGAAGGAGTCAGACTTGTCACATATACTTATAAAGGTTTATTTAGAATTTTCAGTGGGTTGTCAAAAAAACAATAAGGAGAGTTGTTGGAGGGAAATTGACACTGAGAGAATGGAAGAGGGGAGATAAAGAGTAGAGAGAAAAGATTAGAAAGGGCTGTGATGGAGAGAGGCAGCCTCTTTATTCCAAGCTATGAGGAGTGATAATGGTAATGGAAAGTAGGGAAAGGAAGTGGTTTATTTTTCTCATAAATACCATCTGTGAGATGCATAAAAAGAGCGTGTTTGGTGATTTTGGGGGGAGGGAGTCAAGCGTTAGAGCCATGCCTGAGAGCAAAGGATCATGAGGAGCTTTGAAGGGGAGGAGGCACATATTAAATGCCCCAGGCTCTCTGAATTTTCCTTACTGGTCCTCTTATTCTGTGATGCATACTGCTGGAAACTGTCCTTGTAATGCTGCTTACCTAATTAGGAGGAATAAGATCTGGTTTTAGAAAATTGAAAGGACAGGGTAACTTGGAATTCTCACGTATTAAGACTGCGTGTTCCTCGCTGTTTCACCACATTCAATCTGGCACTGAATCTTTCCAATGATTTTTTCTAAATGTTTGCTGAATTTTTCAGATGTTGGTTTTCGCTTTGCTTCGTACATTGACGACTACATGGTGCTGCAGAGGGAGCCTGCAGGGGCAGTGATCTGGGGTTATGGCGCACCCAGAGCCACAGTGACGGTGACGCTGTGCCGGGATCAGGAGCCCATCATGAAGAAAGTGACCAGCGTGAAAGGTAAGATAGGTCAATCTGTGTTTAGCTTTGTCTTCTTCTGCCACCTGCTGGATGATGTGAAAATGAATGCTAATAGTCCAGCTCAGGTTACCCATCCATCATCCATCCAAGTCACTTGAATATTTACCATGTGCACTCAGGATACAAAGGAAAATAAGACCAAGTCAAAGCCCCTGTCCTCCAGGACCTCGTGGTGTAATGGGAATAGACACCAAGCCATACAGTGACTGTGGTCAGTGCTGATGGGAGGTGGATATGAAGTGTCATGGGATGTGGGAGAGAAACACCTCACTCAGGTTGGATGGTAAGGGAAGGTTTCCACTGGAAGTGACATTTGAACTGAATCATGTGTAAAGGAGAGGTCGTCATACACAGAGGGTTAAGAACCTAAGCCCTGGGATTCACTGTTCTCATTCAGATTCTGTTTTCTTAATGTCTATATGCCCTTGGACATTTTATTTAACATTTCTGTGTCACAATTTCTTTATTTTAAAACAGTGATAAAAAATAATATTTAGGATTATTTTGCAGTTTAAATGAATTAACACATATCAAGTACTTCAAACAGTGCCTTGTGCATAATATGTCCTGAATAAGTGTTAGCTGTTGTTATTTCTGGGCTTCCCACTGGCTCAGTGGTAAAGAATCTGCCTGCCACTGCAGGAAGTGCAGGTTCGATCCTTGGGTCAAGAAGATCCCCTGGAGAAGGAAATGGCAACCCGCTCCTGTATCCTTGCCTAGGTTATCCCATGGACTAGGAGCCTGGTGGGCTACAGTCCATGAGGTCACAAAGAGTCAGACATAACCTAGTGACTAAACAACAACAACATTGTTATTGCTGTCATTATTATTATCATGTTATTTAGTCAGTCACTCAGGTATTTACTGAATCACTACTGGGTGTCAGATACAGGGTTAGGTATTGGTTATCCAGTGATCAGCAAAACGGAAAAGCTTGGAGGTTAGGGGAGGAAACAGAAAAATAATAATCAATTACAGTGAAGCGTGATGCCACAGTGGGGAAGTATAGAGTGCAGTGGGAGTGCTTAGGAGGGATAGTAAGCTTAATCTAACTATTCAGGGTCAAGAAGATCCCCTAGAGAAGGAAACGGCAGTCCACTCCAGTATTCTTGCTTGGAGAATCCCGTGGATAGAGGAGCTTGGCAGGCTACAGTCCATGGGGTCGCAAGAGTTGCACGTGACTTAGTGACTAAACCACCACCACCACCAGGGCTTGTTTTGAAAGCTGAGCAGGGCAAACCAAATAGAGGGAACAACCTGGGCAGAAGCATGGAGCTGTGAGTGAGCCTGGGTTACTGGAGGCGGGACAGGCAGGTTTGTTTGTCTGGACCACTAGGATGTGTGACTGATGGTGGATGGCAGGAGCTAAGGCTGGAAGTGTAGGGAGGTTTGTTTGTCATTGCCAGGGAGTATATATGCTACTTTGAATAGATGGCTTTTAAGCAGCAAAAGAACACAACCAGATCTGTATTTTAAAAAAATTACTCTGGCTCCACTGGGGAAGAAGAATTGGAGATGGATGAAACGAGAGGTAGGTTAGTAGGCTGTTATGATATTCAGGCAATAGACAGGGAAGGCCTGACCCCAAATAGTGGCTGTGAGGATATTCAGCAAGGAGAGAATTAGCAGTTAGCAGACTTCCTGAGCAGAGAGGTCATACAGAGGAGTCTCTGCCTAGAAGAGATAAGGATGCATTACGTAGTGTGTGGAGGAGCTCAGAGTTCCAGGATGCAGGAAGGCGGGCTCAGGGCTGGGTTAAGTAGAGACGTGGTCTATTTCACCTTAGCTGGAGGTCTCTATACAGCTCTGGGATGTTGAGGCGAGAGTCAGACAGGTGAGGAGGCTTCTCTGGGGTGGGTGGTGGTAATGTGGAGGTTGGTGGCTTGAGAAGGGGCTTGAATATACACGTGACAGTGAAGCTTGCGAAAATTTTATTGGCCCCTGAAAACAAAGATCACCTGATTAGCTTTCTCAATGTACGGGACCAATATCAATCCAGAGTGATGCAGACACTGGTGCAGACTTTTAATAATTCATTTCCAGGGCCTTCCCTGGTAGCTCTGATAAAGAATTGCCTGTCGATGCAGGAGACACAGGTTCAGTCCCTGAGCAGAGGAGATCCCCCATATGATGGAGCAGCTAAGCCTGCGCACCACAACTGTTGAGCCTGTTCCTAGAGCCCACACTCTGCAGCAAGAGACGCCACCACAACGAGAAGCCCACGCACCGCGGCTGGAGAGTAGCCCCCATTTGCCGCAACTAGAGAAAGCCCGCACAGCAGCGAAGACACAGGACAGCCAAAAATAAAAAAATAATTCATTTCTTTCAGCAAACATAAAAAAAGTATGTACTAAGTACTAGGCGTAGATGCAAGGTAAGTGCTTCTGGTTCTTGGGTTTTAACCAGACTTTTTAGCAGAAGAAGCTTATTGGGTGAAATTCAGAGAGCTGAAAGGGAAACTTAAGCTGATTGAGAAGGTGCTCTCTGTTAGATGTAAATGCTATTGGTGACTTGTAGGATAAACTGAAAATGAAGAATTTGGGAGACTAGTAGTGCTTTCTTTTTCTGTTGTGTCATCTCAGAAATAAGCAACGTGGAGGACAGGTAGTGGTACTCTCAGTAAAATGATGTTGACTTAAAGATCTAAAGTATTGATGTAGCTTAATTAAGTTTTGGTTTCCCAGGTGCTTCAGTGGTAAAGAATCCGCCTGCCAGCACAGGAGATGCAGGAGATGCAGGTTTGATCCCTGGGTCAGGATTATTTTTAATTAATTTTAATTATTTAATCTTTTAAAAAATTATTTAAATTTTTTTGACCATGCCCCACAGCATTGTGGGATCTTATTTCCCCAACCAGGGACTGAACCTGTGCACCCCCTAATCCCCCTGCCCCCGCATTGGAAGCACAGAGTCTTAACTGCTGGACCACCAGGGACGTCCCAAGAATTGATGTAGTTTAAAAATAAGAAATAGGATTTCTTTGGTGCTAATAATTAACATTACCAATTAATACTTAGGAGACAGAGATTACACACTACTGTAGAACAGGGAAAGCACATAATATGTAGCATTTCAGTCTTAAAAATATTCTTATGCATTATTTTTAGTTTTTTTTACCCATTCATGGCTGCTGCAGGACCAATATTTGGAGTGGCCGGAGACAACGCAGGAGAGTAGATGGTGACAAGAAGAAATAAAAGCTGATAATTAGGAGATGAGCCCCTCTCCTTCTTTAGTGAACCTGTTCACTTATCTTGAGTTCAATTCTGTAAACATCAACTGAGGGCTTATTATTTATAATAAGCTAGAAGCCCTAGAGAATACAAAGAAGAAGGTAAGTAGTGTCCACCCTCCAGGAACTCACTCGCTCATGCCGTCCTTTCCTTTCCCATTTAGCAGTTTAAGTTCAGCTTCAGTTGCATCCCTGGAAAGTGATGCATCATTTGGAGTTTGGATGTATAGCAGCAACTGAAGGGAACCAAGTGATTCATGAACTATTGATGAGAATTTCACAGAAAAAGAGATTGTTGTTATTGATGGGGTCGGGAAGGGGGCAGATCTATTTGTTAGGCTCTGCACACTGGCATGGTAGAAAAGAAAGGTACGATAGTTTATACAGATGCATAAAATAACTTCAGTGGACAGCTTGCTCTGTCCTGCCCATGAAGCAACATGGATAAAGTGTTATTTGGAATAAAAAAGATAGACATGTAGGAAATTTCACTGGGCAGTGAAGAAAATGTGTCTCAAAGGAGATGCTGTGGGGCATTTTGAAGGGTTGACTTCTATTTAGATTCTGATGACGACCCTGGGATTTTCAGCCAGACGACCTCATTTGGCCATTCTGTCCATCTCTGTTAATATTTAACTTATTACCTATAATCCCCTAAGTGCCCACAGCAAAGTGGAATTTAATGACATAAAGGGTTTTGTCCAGTAGACTGACACTTGAGCTTTGGGAAAATTGAGACCTGAGGGATGGCTGGGAATATGGGAAGGTTCTGGGCCTGTTTGAGGTATGTCATCAGGTGACACATAATGCTGCTTTCAGACACAAGGTGTAAACTTGGGGCAAAGAGTCTGTATCCTCTCACTTGGACACACGTGGGGGATGTACCTGCAGGTAATACAATGAAGGTGTATTTGCTTGAATTTGTCATCATGATTGAGGTAAAACAGAAAAACACAAAAATCCTAAACCTCTTAGAAAGTCAGAAATCTCCTGCACTAGTTTTCTACGTCACATAGTAAGTTACCGCCAACTTAGGTGCTTAAAACAACATGCTTTTACTATCTCTGTAGATCTGAAACTTGGCCGTCGTTTAGCTGGGTTCTCTACTCAGAGTTTCAGAAGGTTGAAATCAAGGTGCTGGCTGGGCTGAGTTCTCATCCGGAGGCTCGACTAGGGAATGATTAACTTCCAGGCTCCATCAGGTTGCTGGCAGAGCCCTGTCCTTGTGCCTATAAAATTCATGGCCCCATCTCTGAAGCTTTACATCTCTGACCTCTAGACCCTACTTAAAGGGCTCACCTTCTTTAGGTCAGGCCCACCCAGGACAATCTCCCTTTGAGTTAACTTCAAGTCAACTGATGAGGGGTTTTTCATTATACCTGTAAACCCCCGTCATCCTTTCCAGGTAACATAACCTAATTATGAGGATGGCATCTAATCCCCTCTGCCATTTTCTGTTGATTAGAAGCAAATCATGAATTCTGCCAGCACTTGAGGAACTCTGCAAGGGTGCAACTTACTGGGGGTCATCTTTGGCTGTGTCTGCCGTAGCAGGCTATAGGTTAAGGAACTTACAGGAACAGTTTTATTATTATTTTTTTTTAAATCTATTTATTTGACTGCACCATATGGGATCTACTTCCCTGACTAGGGATCGAACCCATGTCTGCTGCACTGGAAATGTGGAGTCTTTGCCTCTGGACCACCAGGGAAGTCCCAGGAACAGTTTTATTGATAGAAAAATATTTAAGCTTTTTTTTTTTTTTTTTCATTCATGGTGGTGGTAGAGGTGAACTTTATACAGAATAATGCAGGTCTGGAAGGGGTAGTTTGGGCAGTAAGGCCTCCTTTACCCCCAGGTCACTTCCACAAACCAGTGAGCCTGTCTGCAGTTGGTGGGGTGCCAGGGTTCTATGGGGGAACAGTGACTGGGGGCTTCTTCCTGATCTAGGTTTTTCCTCTTGGGAAGGAAAGAGTTGTTGGATAATTTTCCTTTTTCTCTTCTTGGCTGCTGAGATTTGGCACAATAACCTGAAAAATAATTAACATCTGATGTGAATGGCAAAGAGGAAAAAAGCAAGATGTGCTTTATGACTAATCATGTCTCTAGATCCATTATTTTCATTTTTTTTTTGCCTTTGATTTGTTGATTCGTCCCATTTTGAGGTGGGGGCTGATCTGGGGGATGGAGAAAACATGGAGAGAGTTCTTTTCTTATGCCCGTGGCTGGAAAATGAAGAGAAGCGGGACAGTGAGAAATAGGCCACCAGATATGTTAGTTGTTGGGCAGGAAAACACAGAACCCCAGTCAGTTTGCGTGGCTTTCTTGTGAGTATAACCTGGCACTGAGGTTTGCTCTCTGCCCTTACTTGGTGATGCTTCTGGCACATGGTAAGCACAATGAAGGAAGGACATCCTTCCTCCTGGATGGAAGAAGAAAGAATGAAGGAAGCAGATGTTTGATTGCAGGAAAAATGAGCATTTATAGAAACCTGGACCTGGATTGGTAAGAGATATTATAAGACAGCAAGTGATGGGGGCCTAGAGGAAGGACCCAGAACAGCTGTTGCTCAGAAAGCCCATTGGGGTCAGCAAACGCCAGCTGAATAGTGAGCTTCAACTCTTGGTGGTCAGTCACTCAGTTTTATCACTTGGACTCAACTTAATGGACTTGGTGGGTCAGTGGTTTCTGAAATCTACAACTGTACTTCACTGGCCTATGGTCAGCTCCACTTTAAACAGCCAGCCCTAAATGGATGGGCCAAGGCCGAATCAGCTCCTTGTGGACCGTCCCACCCTTTCTTTCAGTCTAAGAAACAGTCTTCACAAGGGCTGCTCTCCTTTGTATACACTTTGTTGTTCAGGCGCTAAGTCATGTCTGACTCTGTGACCCCATGGACTGCAGCATCCCAGACTTCCCTGTCCTTTACTATCTCCCAGAGTTTCCTCCAACTTATGTCCATTGAGTCAGTGATATCATCCAACCATCTCATCTTCTGTCTCCCCCTTCTCCTCCTGCCTTCAGTATTTCCCAGCATCAGGGTCTTTTCCAGTGAGTCAGTTCTTGGCAGCAGGTGGCCAAAGTGTTGGAGCTTGAGCTTCAGCATCAGTCTTTCCAGTGAATATTCAGGGTTAATTTCCTTTAGGATTGACGGGTTTGATCTCCTTGAAGTCCAAGGGACTCTCCAGAGTCTTCTCCCGCCCATGGAAGTAAATCTGCATTGTTTTAAACTGATTGTTTCTGAGTTAGTTTGACCATTAACAACCTCTTTGTAGTGGAGCTGGTTTTTCCTGCCTGTGTGGCTGTTAACTTTACTTGACCCCCATTGTGTCGGAGTTTTTCTTTTATGAAGCGGGAGAGGAAAGAGCTAGAAACTAAAAGAACTTGGGGACTAGAACAGAAGGAAGTTCTCAAGGTCTTTGAGGAAGTTGAGAGGTTTCCTAGGGGGAGTGGTTTGGAGGACAAGGCGCAGATCTGGACGCCTGGTTCTCTTCAGACACTTTGGGCTCTGGGGGAGTGCCTCCTCTGGCTGAGGTAGCGGGGTGGTGCTGCGCTTTGCCCAGCTTCCTCCCCCTTTCCTTCTTTGCCTTTTTATTGCTGGGCAGCAGAGCTTTCCAGAAGCTCTGGTGAAGGTGGTTTTCCACACCAGCCATATTGCTTGGATGGAGACTAAGAGCAAACACCTAATTAATAGCAGTGACTCAGAATAGCATGTACCATAGTAGAAGGCTCGAAAAATAGCCCTGTCCTAGGTTTTCCCGGGATTGACCGCATTATCACAAATGAGTAACGTTGATGGCAGGAGGACAGAGCTCCGATAAGAAGCCTGGGAAGACCTTGGCAAGGCTGTGGTTGGGACAGATTGGAGAGTCTGCCTGCTCAGACGAGAGCGCCATACGGATCACCTCACACCTGTGCTGCGTGCAATCTGTGCTCACTGCCCACTGTTTCCAAAACAGAGGTTTTTGTGCTTTAGATGCATTCTACATTTAATGTGTTGATGTCTGTGGCTATTGGCGGTGTAAAAACAATAGCAGACATTCCGTCCTGGGCCCAGTTGACCTCTCACGGGTGAGATTGGCAGACTCAGTCGGCTCTGCTTCTAAGAGAGGTGACCGTGAGCCCTTTCACTGTTGCCTAAGGGTTTTGGATATTTCTCCCAGACTCTGAGTAATCCTTTACCCATCTCCTGCCATGTGTCTGGACTTCTCCCCTTAGCTCTTACTGACTAGGAGAACCTTGGCATGTGGTACAGAGTAGGCACTTGGCTAGTATTTTTGTTTTTTAGTATTTTTATAATTGATATTTTTTTTTCTGGTTGGTACAATAACCTTGGCTTCCCAGGTGGCTCAGATGGTAAAGAATCTTCTTGCCAACCAGGAGATATGGGTTCAATCCCTGGGTCAGGAAGATCCCCTGAGAAGGAATGGCATGAGAAGGAATGACGACCCACTCCAGTATTCTTGCCTGGAGGATTCTGTGGACATAGGAGCCTGGCGGGTCCATGGGGTCACAAAAGAGTCGGACATGACTTAGTGGACTCAACAACAACAACAACAATAACCTTAGGATGCCTCATTTGCAGTTCTTGCCATTCCTTCCCTTTGAATTGACATTGATCTGATGGGCACAAATTATCAATCAGTCCATATTCTTCAACATTATGCCAAGAGTATTTCTTTTAAAATGATCATGTCTCTATTTTATCTGTTTTCTCCTTCCACTTCTTCAACTTTATTCGTGTGGTTTGGTTCTCCTAGGCATAATTTTGCCTCTTGGAAGATATTCTTCCTAAGTTTCTGAGTATGATGTTGGCAGTGGTGGTGGTATGAGTGGGTGAGAGGTGGGAAGGTGGTAGGGGGGTGGTTCCTAAGGAATATGCTCTGAATTTCTGAAATAGGGCCTTGGATGGCTTTTCATCTCCTTAATTGAGTCTGAAAACATTAAGACTGGTAAATAACTCTGTGAAAATAATTAATTGGGCAAGTACAAATATCTTCTTCAAAGAGAGATGCATTTATTTGCCTCCTACTAATTCGTTGTGTCAGTTTATCCACTCACCTGTTTAACTGTAGATAGAAGAGCCCAGAACCACTGGTGTTTTTAATCCCCAAGACCAACACGGGGAAGAGGTGGGGGTGTTGATGACAAGGATGGTACCATCAAGTAAGTTTCAGATGATGAGTGGTTTTTTCTAACCTGTGCTCACATTTGATTGGATAGTTACAAGTTAGTTTGGGGCACTGTAAATCTATTAGATTATGATTATGTTGATTTTGACAGTTTGGTGGTATAGTAAGAATTTCCATCTTGCGTTTTTGTATTAAAATCCCTTGCATTTAATATCTGTATTTTTGTCTGTCCTCACTTAGGATTATAACTGGGTGATTTATTTTTCTTATAAATGCTTCAGTTAAAAGTAAGGAGGGATTGGTACAGATTAAAGAGAGCCACGCTGCTGCTATTGTTATTTCTGTTGACATGTCTAAAATTTGGCTGGTTTTCATAGCTTTGGATCCAGTTCATCACAGAAGAGGGGAATTGCCACAGATAAGTCTGATGCATGACTCTAGGCTTCAGTTTCATTTTGATGGAATGAGTAATTAATTCCTTGGAGCCTTGTTATTATTTCAGCAGACTCTAACACCTGGACAGTGGTACTGGATCCTATGAAGCCTGGTGGACCTTATGAAGTGATGGCACAGCAGACTCTTGGGAGGATAAACTTCACTCAGAGAGTTCATGATGTCTTGTTTGGAGACGTCTGGCTTTGCAGTGGGCAAAGTAACATGAAGATGACAGTTTCACAGGTAATTTGCAAAGTCTCAGTGATAATAATGTTGATGATGAAGAAGAAAAAGATGGAAGAGGAAAGGGGCGAGGAGGAGAAGGAGGTAGAAGCCAAGATCTGTTCTAAGTGCTTTCTCTGCATGTGCTAATTAATTCAGTTTAACAACTTCATAGGGTGAATACTTATAAGACATGCATATCCCACAGATGAGGACACTGGTCCAACTGAGGTTAGGTTCCTGCCTAAGGTCACAGCATAACTGTGGAGCCAGGATGTGAATGTGACCCCAGATCTGGCTTTGTTAGTCACGGCCAGTATGCTGTCAGTGTGAGGGGCGCTCCTTTCTCACCTTCCTGGGCTAAAGGCAGAAGCTAGACAGTATCTGATGGTAACAGAGATTTAATAGCACATTGAGGGCCATGTAGGTTACTCTCCTTTTTGAATGGCCTTAGAAGATGAGCTTCTGGAGACAGCCTACGAGAGCAAAACAATTAGATTTTGTTTTGATGCTGAGCGGCTAACACACGCTGTCTTTTGTTGCCATGGAGATTTAAAAATTGAGACTGAATGTTGGCTTTGCCTCTTACTAGTTGTATGGCTTGGAGCAAATCACTTGGTGTTTATGAAACTTTGTTTTTAAAACATGCTTTTAAAAACTGTGGTTAAAATGAATATAACATAATGTTTATCATTTTAACTGTTGGTAAGTGTACAGTTCAGCAGCATTAAATATATTCACAATGCTTTGTGTACACAGTCACCACTATCTGTCCCCAGAACTCTATCATCATCTCTAACGTTTACTTTGTACCCATTAAACAATAAATCCCCCTTTCTCCTTCCTCCTGCCACTGGTAACCTCTATCTTGCTTTCCCTCTCTGAATTTGCCTCTTCTCGGTACCTCCTAGAAGTGGAATCGTACAATAGTTATTCTTCTGTATCTGACTTATCTTTCTAAGGATCATGCTTTCGAGGTCCATGCATGTAGTATATATCAAACTTTTGTCCCTTTTTATGGCTGAATTGTATTCCATTGTATAGACCACATTTTGTTTATCCATTCACCTGTGGATGAACACCTGGGTAGTTTCCACCTTTTGGCTATTGTGAGCAATGTTCATAGCAATATTAAATCAATGCTATGAACATTGATTTACAGATAATCTGTTTCAGTTCCTGCTTTCAGTTCTTTTGGATATATGCCTATGAGTGGAATTGCTGGGTTCTATATTTAACTTTTGAGGACCTGTCGAACCACTTTCCACAGTGGCTGTACCATTTTACATTCCTACTAGCAATACACAAAGGTTTTAATTGCACTGCATCCTCACTGACAGGTATTAGGTTCCATTCTGATTATAGCCACATTAGTAGGCAAGAAGTGGTATCCTAATATGGTTTTGATTTGTGTTTCTCTAACAACTAGTGATGTTGAGTATTACTTCATGTACTTATTAGCCATTTGTATGTCTTATTTGGAAAAATGTTTATTTAGCCCTTTTGCCCATTTTTGAATTGGGTTGCTTTTTGTTAAATTGTAACAATTATTTATATCTTCTAGGTATTACTTGCTTGTCAGGTGCATGATTTGTAAATATTTTGTCTCATTCTCTGGTTTGTCATTTCATTTTTTGAGGGTGTTCTTTGATACATAAAAGTTCTCAATTTTTATGAAGTTCAGTTTATCTGTGTTTTCTTTTGTTGTTGCTTATGCTTTTGGTATCATCTTCTTGATACTGTTGCCAAGTCAAGTGACATGAAGATTTTTCCAGTGTTTCTTCTGAGAATATTTTAGTTTTAACTGTTAAGTTTAGGTCTTTGAGTCTTTTTGATCACTTTTTTATATATAGTATAAGGTGAGGGTCTAACTTCATTCTTTTGCTAGTGGATATCCAGTTCTCCCAGCACCAATTGTTGAAAAGACGGTTCTTCCCCTACTGAATGGTTTTGGCACTTTTTTCAGAAATTCATTTGGCTATATATATGAGGATTTATTTCTTGGCTTTTTAGTCTATTCCATTGGTCTATATATCTCTCCTTATGGCAGTACCATACTGGTTGAATTACTGTCGCTTTGTAGTAAGTTTCAAAGTTGGGACATGTAAGTCTCCTCCAAGAATTTCTTTTGTTAGTGTCAATTTTTCTCTGTTTTAGTCTTGGCCTTGTAGATTAATTTTTTCTTAAATTTTGAAAACTAGCATTTTTTTTCTCCCTTATTGTAGCTATAGAGAGGTTTCACTAGGCTCTGTTTAAGCATGATAGAAGGTCAGGAGGAAGAGTACTGTAGGGGCTCCCAGGTAGGGATGGGCATACTCAGTAAACAGAAAATCAAGTGCAAACGGGGAATGCCAGCCTGTTGAAATGTTGTCAGTGAGGAAACTCAACTTGAAGTGTTCCTACCTCCATTGCTATTAGAGCAGTGAGTGAGTCTGACACATAATGAGTGAGTCTCTTAAGTGAAGCAGGATAAAGAGGACATCAAAAGGGCTTCCCTGGTGGTCCAGTGGTTGAGGATCTGCCAGCCAATGCAGGGGCCACGAGTTCGATCCCTGGTCTGGGAAGATCCCACATGCTGTGGAGCAGCTAAGCCCGTGAGCCACAACAATTGAGCTTGTACTCTAGGTCCCAAGAGCCTCAACTGACTTTAGCCACTTGCCCTGAAGCCCATTCTCAAGAGAAGCCACCACAATGATGAGCCCACACACCACATACACGCTACTAGAGAGTAGTCCCTGCTCTCCACAGCTACAGAAAGCCCGTGCACAGCAGTGAAGACCCAGTGCAGCCAAACATAAATTAGAAAAATTTTTAAAGAAAAGGACTTTGAAAAAGTCATCAAGGAGGCAAGCTTCTTTATAGTTTACTGGTACTCTAGCAAGACAAGAGTGATAGAACAGAAGCCGTGGGGCTCTGAGATTTCTTTCTGGAAACAACTCTGCTTTCTGATTGAACACAAAAACAGTCTAGAATAAAGGGAGTGGATTTCTGGAGAAAGTGGTATGGGGTTTTTGCTTTTGGGCCTCAGAATTGTCCTTCCTTTGTTTAGTGCAAGCTCTCTGATTTAAAAATAAAAGTAAGGGAAACCATTGCTGTTTCATTTATATTAGGATCAGAGCTGGACAGTAGCAAGTTCATAGTTATATTTAAAGTTTATCAGCTTAAAACACTGCTGAGAGATTAGAAAATATTTTTTTTACTCACTTTCAGACCTCCAGAGAAATTCATGTGAATTAAGTCCTTTGACACATTTGAAATTAGGGTTGATTTTCTTTGCTTGTCTTTATTATCTGATTTTTCTATAACGAGCATGAAATAATTATAATTTTTAAGACAAAGTTATAAAAACAAGAAACTGATATTCACTTAACTGATACCTTAAATATATATCAAAGGCTCAATTTACAATAAAGAGGCACATTATATAAATAAGAATCTTAGGAATAAACAGTTTAATTTGCATTAGGGATCAGAACTAATATGTTTATACTTTGATATGCACTTATATTTGTTTCCATTAAAGGTTAAGATCTTGAAAAGATTATTATCTTCCCTAGTAGCTCTTTCTCTAAAACTCAGTTCCTCAAGTTGATTTTTATTTTCTTGCCTTTTTTTCATCATCTACTTCTTCATTTTTGAGGGATAGTTAAGTTTGACTTTTAAAAACACTCTAGAACTAGACCATGATCTCAATTAATCTTTTAAAAAAATGTGCAAAATTGAGCCCTTACACATATTTAAGATCTCTTGTTTTGCTTCTGTAGCTTCTGCCCCTTCTGGCTTCTTTTTTTAAAAAAACCAGTTAATAATTAATGCTTTTAAAAATATTCTACTTTGGACATATCTATTTCCTTTCATTATTAGTTTTCTAATTTAAAAATCTAAATTCTTGCATTTATGTCTTCCTAACCAATATTTTACTTAGTCTTGCTTTGTACCCTGCTTAAATATATGGAAACCTTTTTAATTTAAATGTTTATTAAATTGGACTTAACTGGGCTCCATTTTAACATCAGTGAATAGAAGCAAAATGAAAGTTTCATCTCTTGATAGAAAGCATGGTTTTATATAGAAGTAGGATTGCTGTTAACTCATTAAGGAAAACAGTATTTTCCTTAATGCTTTAATTGCAGTTCCCTGTTTGCACAGAGAGGCATGGACCAGATCTGTTTGTATCTGCACAGTCAGGTTCTCAACTGTACTCTGTGCCAAGGGATCTCATCCCATTTTCTGTCAAGCTAAGTCACAGTTTAATTGTTAAGACTGAACACATTTTTTCTGCCTGGAATTTACTCTTAAGCATCTTCTATATCAAACTAAGGCTACAAGCTCTGAGATACAGCAAAATAGAAAAAAGATTCCATCTGAAAAAGCCAAGTGTTAATTTTGTTTGTTTTAAAATCATGCGCTTAGTCTGCAAGACAGCATTTTAGGTGCTGACAGTACAAAAAGCCAAATTTTCTAGTCTCTTAACACTCTGTATAACTTTGTTTTTGGATCATAAAGATGCTTGACATGACTCCTCCTTTATTCATTTTCCTCCCTTCCCCTGAAGACTCCCAACACACACACACACACACACACACACACACACACACAGTGCCTCCCTCTTTCCCCTTCTCTCCCTCCATGTGACATTTCTGGGGAGACAAAATTTCCAGTATAACCAACCACTCTTCACAGTCAAATGAGGGAAATGGCAGATTGTGTGCCCATCTTGTTGTTAGGGTAAAGTGGAATTTTAAAATCAAGTGTTATTTATAACACCGAGTGAGATGTTTATAAATGGAGGAAAGTCTAAATGCTCATCTGTCACCTTCTAAGTCAGGGTACATCTTAAGACTTGGCTATTTCTAGTTAGGCTCAGAAGAAGATGGCCAGTGTTCGATGGGAAACCCAGTTTTCCCTATCTCAGCAGTCCCCACATTCCTGCTTTACAAATTGGGAAATTAAAATCCAGAAGAGAAGGGCTGGTGCCACAGTACAATAAAAGATTCCCAGGAGGCATGATGACTGGCTTATTTATAGTTATTCTCTCATCTTTAAATCTGCCGTGTTGTAATGTGGTAGAAGGTAAGGTGGCGCTTCCCTGGCAGCTCCATGGTAAAGAACCCGCCTGCCAATGTAG